AGCGATCGTTCCAAACTGTTAGCACTGATTCAATCTGGACTACAGTCTAGATTCAATCAGTGATTCAGTCTAGCCAGCTCCCTACATGTTGAGCCTATTTCCTTAGGAATGCATCTCGAATCTATCAATTTGCTAGAGAACTGCTCAAATGATTCCATGCTTTTCCGTCAAAGAAGTTCTCAGAGTTACAATCTAAGGATCCGTAAAAGTTCGAAAAATCCCAATTCATCGTTTCAGTGGTCTTGGTTTCGTGGTGGGTTCTAATGTGGCAAGCCTGCTAAACTCGTGGCAGTGGGGTGTACGTGTAACTGCATTGGCTGGTAAGTTTTTCGTTTATTCCTTCTAAATTACCATTTATCATGATAATACTTTTGCAGGACTCGTTGTGTTGGTGTTACTCGTTCTTGTCGTTGATGAACCTAAACGAGGTGCAGCCGAAATCACCGAAGGCGCACACATTCATGGAGAAATCTCGACGTCGTACTGGAAGGACGTCAAATCGCTGGCTTGCACGTAAGATACATAGCTATGAGAACCGTATAAGACGAATGTGTCTTACGTCCAGGGCTCAGTCGAACTTTCATTTTAGGCCCTCATTTGTTACATGCACATGGGCGTATACAGCACTGCTCTTTGTCACAGGCACATTGACATGGTGGGAGCCGACAATCATCGCGCACTCTATAGCATGGACACAGGGCCTGAACGACACTCGTCTTCTTCCCAGCAGTAAAAAAGACCAGTGAGTGTTCAAGCAAAGTCCTTTCTTTAAAATTTTCATCTTTTCACCGGGAAAGTGCATACATTAACTTAATAAAGGTCATTCCTTCTGAATTTGTGCTTTCTTCTACCTTCTACTCTCCTCAGAGTGAATGCTCCTCAATTTCCTAAAAAACGTCTTGATTGGGAACTCCAGTTGTTTACATGGATGAGAGCAGTTTTTTCGCTTCCAGTAGTGCCCTTACGGTTTCCTTACCACCGAGAATGGTTCCAAGGGTTCCGTTCTTTTCACCATCCATCAGAACAATCCCTACTCCCCGTCAGACATTCTTTCTAAAACAGGATGAACCCAGTGGTTACGACGCAGTGGTACCTGATACTTGTGTCTTACACGTCTTCCGTCCTTGGCTCATCGTGCTCACGGTTTTTGAAAACCATTGAAGGGCTTTTTTCTGAATTACCATTCACTATAGGCTTGATTTTCCACAGTGGATGGTGACTGACCTGTAATCATAGTATTTATAATTCGAATGGGAGGTTTTGCAATTTATAAGATAAAGCAATAGACCCAAAAGAATCACAACTCGTCCCAAAACAGACCGATCATGATTCAGAGTCGGCTTAATCTTCGGAGCAATCACTACTGCATCCGGTATCATTGGAGTGTCAATGGGAACTCTTCTGTCTGGTGTAGGTTTCCTGAACTAAATGGTCATCATAAATTATTCTATGTAAACGAAATGAGACGTATTCTAGTACTTCGATTCCTTTACTTCAGTTGATCAGAAGCGGGCGAGGCGTTTTCCGCCCTCTGAAGACGGAACGTGCCCAGCCAATTATATCTGGACTGGGGGCTCTCCTAGCTGCACCGCTACTGCTTTTAATTTTCCTTTTTGGTCATAAGAGCATTTTAGCGCTATGGGTTCGTTTTTTTCTGTTTTTAAGCTGCTTTTCCATGATCAATCACCTTAATTCTGGAGATTATGAACTTTTTCAGATTTTGATGTTCTTTGGTATCACGTTCCTCTGTTTCAACTGGGGCTTGAACGTCGATATGTTGATGGTAAGCCACAAAGGACCTCATTCCTTGAAGACCTCTGCATCTGGGGCATTCTCTTTTTTATTTTCCCCCTAGGGGGTGGCTGAGGTGGAACCGTTGCCCAGATGTATATGAGTGAGTGCTAGATGACAAGGTTTAGCCAAGACTTGAGAAAATGAAGGTGGTCCGTTGTGCCGTTGAAGGTTACTTGATAATAGTAGCCTCAATGAACAGTATGTTTGCAGAACTTCTCCTTCGAATTATTTTAGCAGAAAAGGGACCTGAAAAGTCCAGCGCTAACCAAAAATAGTAGGAAAAGCTCGAACAATAGCTAATTTTCTTTGATACAGTTTAGAAGGGGGTTTAGGCTATTGCTCTGTATTACCTGTCCTGTCCTGCCTCCTTCCATGTGAAAGGGCCGTTTAAGCGGGGCTAGGGAAGTGGTAAAGCGAATCGTACTGGCATCCAAGAAGGCCCACGCGACACCTATGCGACACCTCTCCATGTTCTACTTTTTTACAATTCTGACTGGATCTTTTAATTTTCCTATGCTTTTCTTCAGAGCGTCATAGTGCCTTCACGCCGAAGTACCGCCTTCTCATACTTCATGCTGATATCTCACCTGTTCGGAGATGCCACAGGTCCTTACATTATCGGAGCGGTGAGTTCTGCTTGATTTATTGGAGTAGCCTAAATGTTCGCTGATAACTTCTGACATTGGAAAGAAGGATACCGTCTCCTCCTTGATAAATAGTTGAATCGCTCCCTCGATATGGGTAGCTCAGACTGGAGGAAATTAAACTTTTATCAACGTTTGTTGTCCCCATTCTGTACTCTTTTGCCCTTTCTTCATGTGGAAGTGGTCTGCAAAGAGAAAACCATTTATCCACGAGCTTACTGAGCACAGGAGTTGAGAATAACCTAAAAAGGAGGCTCGCAATAGATCAAGTTATTATGACAAGATCCTTTTGTTAAGGTTTCGGACGCGATTCGTGGCTCAGTGAAAACTCCTGAGACGCAGTACCTTTCACTAGTCAAGGCCTGTGCCGTTACAGTAGTATTGCTCTGCCTATCAGCTGCACTGTACTTCGTCTGTGCTGCGGTATTGGTTAGAGATCAACACAAATTTAAAAAGGAGATGGGTAAGGTATATGCACTTTTCTATTTAGAATTGCTTAGACTTTATTAATAGAGCTCAAAGTGTGAATGGAAAGGAACTACTGGCCAAGCGAGCCTTAAAAAGCACCCATTGAGGAACACATCCAGTCCGAGTGGGTTATGAGAAAAGGTTCACGTACCCTGACCCTTGCTGGACTACTTCGCCCACACAATCAGAGCGGCCACAATTTTTGAAAATTTCATAAAGCCTACTACAGCTAGGATTACTGCTTATGCTATGCTTGCAGACTCCTCCTTTCAATTTCCACTGAGCTACTCAGCACCTTTCCTGTATGGTGGCAGTTTTTACTGACCGCTGGAGAGGTGCTCAGTAGCTCAGTTGCGTCGTCCACNCCGCATGCAGAGACGAGACGAGTAGTGATCACTGCGTCGTCTTAATGCCGAACTCCTCAGCCTTCGCCAACCCTAGCATCGTCTTTTCCGAGTATTTGAGCGGTATAAAAAATCAGTAAAGGATCACTAAGGAAATTTACTCTCAGCCCCCATACCATTCAGTAGAGGCATGAGAGAAGGAAATGCGGGTTGCCAGCGAAAGGAGAAAAAAATGATGAACTTTTCGTCCGTCTGGGTCTGCCTACTGGTATATGGTCTTCTCTTCAATGAACAGTAGAAACTGTAATCATTCCCAGATGGATCAATAATCTATCGCCCAGTCATCTAAGTTTCAGTCTCTAAAGCGCAGTCCCGCACAAAGTTTCGTCATGCTTGCTGATGTTCCCAACATCCCTTTAAAGCAACTAACTTACCATTAGCCTGTTTCAGGACTCCTGAATGGTTCATTGAAGAAGCCGGCCTCAGAGAGTTCTTCCAATGAAAGGCTCAACCGACTGCCAGATGACGAAGATGTTGAAACGGCAGAGCAACGATTATGATCACCTGCAAATTTGACGGCATTTCGGTTACATGGCATATTCTAGGACACTAGAAGTAGCCATCGCCTCGATCTGTATGGGAGCAGCCGAATACTATTATAGTTACTGCTACGGTAGTACAATACCGTAACCTGTGTTATCAGAGACAATAGTCGCTAAGTTCCCTTATGAAGAACCACCACGGGTCTATAACGGCCTTCCAAGCTATCAAACTCGAATTTTAACGTTGAAACTCAACTATTGATGTAATTACCTGTAATAAACAAATTTTAAATTTTTCTAATATTTATTGACGGTGATAGCGACAATAACTCAAATTAAGGAAACGGTGTTCCCACCTAACCACTGGGAGCTGTTCGTTGCTTCTATGTAGGAGTAGGCACTGTAATTCACCTCCTAAACATCCTGTAACACTTTCAAAAATTGGTCGGTTCGGGCACTACGACGGGCCCATAAATTTCACGGATATCAGGTGGTGTCAATGAACGGTGGGACTTTTTCGCAAGGCTATCGACAGTCGTCACACAGTTTCTTCCTGACATTTATTGCACTCAAACCACATATTGAGCAGCTTATTATTAATTGTCTATTCACAATATAAACAAAAACACCTAGTGAATGTAGCAAACAAAACGAGTATGTTCATTGTTGTTCAGAAGGTATAGAAAGGTGTTTCCTCGGCGAACTCATCAATCATAAATCGTAGCGACCGTCCATCGACCAAATCTAGTGCATAGCTGGCTATCATCATTAGCACGAAAAGCCATTCCGACATGGCTACCATGGGGGAAACTAAAAGTGGAATCAACAAATTGATATTTTGTTGTTCTTTCAACTACATAGTTCAGAAGTGATTCCGTAAAGAAATTGACTGGGTCAGTAGTCGATTTTCTGTGATGTGCCATGTCATCAGGAAACTGTGAACTTTTGATCGCTTATAAAGCGGATGTCCTTATCTACAAGAATGCTGCTAAGAATTAGAGTGAATGAAGATAGGAAAAAAATGCACCAGTGAAGTGCTGGTTTCCACAACAGGGGATTGGGAGCCCGGAGGTGAATCTTTCGTTAATTACCCGATTCAGAAAAAGAGAAACGGATACACAGATATACCCAGATGGAACTTACCCATTTGATCGCAAAATGGATAAGCGACAAAATTCTGCCAGTTAGTCAATACTGATCGACCTATGAAAAGCGTCGCAACAGCAATTCCCAGTCGGCATAACGTAGTCACCGAATACCTCTGAAGTTTGCTAGAGAAACATCCATCCGTTAAAAAAAGGGCGTCTGCTTGCTTTTGCGGTCAAACAATTTGGCACTTTTTCAGGAAATTTTTCAAACTGACCTTGATTCCACTCAAGAAGACCATCTTGACAACCAATGTAACAATAGCTATAGTGAGGGCAATCCCAGTAAGATATGAATCTGAACGAACAAGATCCTAGCGAAGTAAAGGATTTTGAATAGTGTGACACGGTTCATCCCTACTCTCCCCCTTGCCAGTGTCCACAAAATCCTTTTTTGTACTCCTTATAGATTTTAGAACAGTTTCTAAGCGATGGCTAAGCCTATTCCAAGGTCACTTTTCGACGCCGTCTCTCTAAAGGTCAAAGTGAGAGCAATGAAGTCAGTTTCATCGTTGGCGTTTCTAAGAAACATCAAATGCTTTGTGGAACAAAAGGATAAAATTGGGATCAAAAAGCCCAAAAAAGAAAAGAATCACTCAGTCAACGGTGCTCGAATGCTTTGATTAGATGTACCGATTAATGAGCGTGGAAGTGCCTCCACACTGCTTATCAATCGTGTCACCTTAGCTCAGGAACTCATACTAAACCTCGAAGAAGTAATGTACTGCTTACTTTGATTGTCCTGCCACATGTGAATAGTGAACATTGTGGACATGCCGGTGAGATGTAGAAACTCGATGAAGATCGCCAGAGGAACTATGATGAGCAACAACGGTATGCTTAGAGAACATTGATGGATTGTTGCCGGAAGAAGGACCAAACGATGAACAAGGCTTAGAAGTACAGCAACACGCATAGGAACCTGACAGGAGTTTTAGGTATTTTCCTTTTACATGGCTCATTACCAGTTGTTTTTTTTCTTTTTCTTTTCTTGGAAAGCCGTGGACGAAATCAGTTTGTTCTCCTCATTCTCAGTTTTCTTGATTATCAACTTACTTAGGTTGTTCGTGTTGCACGAATTGGATTAAAAAGCATTGACAAATCTCAGGCGATGAATATTAGATAGCTTTTTAAAAAGAATAAAAGTTTCGAGTCTTCCAATAAGACTGACCTGCACACTGACGAATAGCTGGCTGGATCGAAATAGCGATGGGAAGGTTACATTTCCTGGTAGTTCCGTACGATTCTGAACGGGTGTTTAGAGAGATACATCCTCAGGAAGGAGGGAGAAGGGAAGTCCATTACTTCAACATAAAAAACGAAAGGAGTTTCAGCAATGAAGCCGTTGTTTTCACCATTTGCCGATTATTACTGAAACAAGCCTTCGCGCTTTAATAAAGCTCCAGGATGCCTAGAAACTGGTTTCGAAAAAAAGTCGTATCCGGCTCCCGAATTCAGCAGCAACTAAAAGAAAGGGTTCACTTTAATATCTCTATCAGCCAGTCGCCACGCTAGCGCTCATCGAGGAAGGGAACCTTAAACATGCATTCGGCAAGTTGTAGGACCGAGCCCAATTGATACGTATATCCCACGGTTAAATAGAAAGGTTAGACGGAGCCGTTATCCGTGTAGCCTGATTGAGAAGTTGCGGTTCACTTCCTTAGAAATGGTCTCGTTAGAGCAGCACAGTTTTGCATGACCTCTGAAGAGCTCAGTATGTGCTCCTTTTATAACTCTATCCGCATACCTTTACGCTCGTCAATTTTTTTTTCGATACGGAAGTCAATTTTTGTATGAATGTTATATGACCCAGACCCTGACTTGACCATAATTCACCAACCAAAGAGAAAATGAGGTAATGTCCCAAAAGAATCAAGTTTTGCAAGAAATTGATCACTCACCCAGCAAAAGTTGTCGAGTGAGCTTCCATAATTATATCGTTCCATACCGCGGTCTATGGCTATCAACCACGCGTCGGCCATGGCTGGTTGGATTGTTGCATATTTGGCATCGTCCCCAAACAGGTAAGTACCATTGTAAATCAGCTAAAAATTAGTCCGTCAGCTTCAAAGGCGAAGAAATTTAATATTGGCTGTGTAGGCCCTAACTCCTAAGTCGTGGACGATAGAACATGGCCAGATGGTCTGTGTGACAAGGTACCAACTCTCCCCTTATATAAAGAATTGGCTCGTTGATGAGACGAAACTTAATCAGTCCCTCTTCCGGAGGTATTTCCTCCCCGTCAACCTTTTGATATTTTTTTTCTTCCGACAGCTAGGGGAAATTTCAAGTTCATTGGCCCAGCTTTCCTATTCGATACACTGTGAAGGGCCAATGAAGCTCACAGAAATGGAATCTTCCCATACTCACTAGCCTTTATGAAATCTGAACAACTCACCGTCTGCAGCCCAATTTTCCACTTGGTGCCTTTTCAGCCAGTTTCAAGAAAAAAATTCCAGTTCCAAGAAAAAGCCATCGATTCTGTCAATATACCCTTCAAGCCCTCAGAGCTTACCTGAATGTTCTCTCGCACGAATCGAGTGTCATTGTCATGTTTTGCATCGAATGATTCATGGGGATCAGTCGATTGCAGAATTGCAACTGCTATGAGCAACAAAGAGATCGTAGCTATACAAAAGCCAAGTTTCGCCATGCTAACGTCGAGTGAATAGCCCGCAGAGACATCTACTGGTGAAAACGGTTCTGAAAACAAAGTATTTGTCAACATGAACAATCCATCGCAAAAGAAGAAAAGCCTATTGATGTATAAAAACTTCACTACCCAGTCTTGTCCTAAGATTTATATGTATCTCTGACAATTCGTGGCCAGGACTAATCCTGTCGTGGGCGGAGGTGGTGTAGTGAGAAATGGCGCACTATCACACACGCATAGACACGGGTTCGAGTTTCGTATCGATATCGGCCTAGACCAGCCAAGCCTTCCATTTCTCCGGGTTGGTTAATTGACACCAGACTCGTCTGTGGTAACGAAAGCGCTGACTTATACATCGGCTGGCCATCGCAAGTACAATAATTGTATAGGCCACATACGCATTCATAAGCCACTACGATTTTGAATGGAAGTCGAATGAGGGGCGCATCCCTCAGACGAGGTTGATCAATACCCAAAAACTTTATTCTTGTATCCTTTAATCAGTTACTCTGAAAAATATCCGTACTTTCAGCTATACGCTCGGGTCGAAAAAATGCTTCTACTACTGAGACTGTACGAGCTTTGCCCATGGCACGAAGTTCTTCGAAACGATCCTATCAGCTGAAATAAAGTCGATATGAGAGTCAAACTTCAAGCGCATTCAGATGCAACTCAAACTCTATTATATGTGAATATTCCAGATGTATAACATAAATCCATAGATGAATATAACTGAAATTGGATAAGTATTGCAATTTGATGGGCAGAAATCGGTATGTACGAGAATGGAAAGAAGTGAGATAGGATATTCTATCTTCTGGATAACATATATCTTTTATGTCCTACTTAATCAATTAGCTCGATAGGACCTGTCTGGCACTAGATCTGTCGACTGTAGTAAATCAACTAACCGGTAACAATAGTTGTTTGTTCAAGAGCTCTTATGAATATGTACATTCTGGAGGGACAGACAGGGACTTCCTCGAGGAAGAACGATTCATCAAGTTTATCTGGAGGGGAATATTGAGAAGCAAGGCTGCACTTATAAAAATAAAATGAAGTGCACCATGTCCAGAACTAGATGAAGAAGCCTTCAGATTCAAGATCTTCGAAATCGCCCTCCTCCCCTCCTCCAGTCATTCCCTTTCATTTTGGGGAGATTAAAACAAAAAATCGGGGGAAAATGGTATTTTTCCTTTCGTGGACAAGTAAGAGACCTTTCCTTGGCACTGCATTAGATAGAGGAATCTTCGGATCACTGTCCGTAATGTTACTGTTATGTCATTCTATTCAATGGTCAGGTTGTTTGTCGGAGGTTGTTTGTATGTTAGAAGGGACTCCAAATACCTTCATCTGATCTCAGCTCAGCTCATGATACAACCACTAGATTTCTTATTCAAGTAAATTCTCATTCCCTATAGCGCCATTATAAGTGAAAACTTCGGGTTGCACAGTAAAGTATAGCAGAAAGTTAACGGTCTATTACATTATCATAGCCCCATCCGGAATAGGAGTAGAAGTTTCGGCACTTTTGAGTAACTTGAATCTCTGAGGTACATACTGTGTAAAGAGTACAGAGTTTTCATGGCCAATCAACTGCGAGCGACAGTTTTTCTGAGCAAAAGTCAGTTTCTGAGTTCTATAATCTCCAAAAAAGCGCTTGAAGCTATAAGGCCTCCTATGTTTGGTTTTTCAGACCAGCTCTAAGTTTGCCTAAAATGTTTGTTACATTCCTTTATGACTGACTGTGCTTGTTATTTTCTCGTTATTGTCCTTTACCCATCACATTACTAGTGTAATAAATAAGTTATTAAATAGTTATATAATGTACATACTCATTTTCCGTCGTCAAAATTGAAATGATGAGTGTCTCCATCCTAGTGACACTAACACTGAGCTTTGCTCAAGCCTTGGTCTTGACTTTAGGTTACTTACTAAACGGGAAATCTTTTCATTGAATAGGGAGAGGTTTCCATCATTCGCTTCTGAAGGTACAAATCTCTGATTTCTTACTTCTTGTTACAGATAGCGCAGATCTACTCGAACTTTTCAGCATGGATGCGTCATGAAGTTCAACGATTCTCTTATTGAGCCCTGATTCCTAAGTTAACTCTCAACCTGGCTTCTTGCTTTTGGGAACAAAAAGGTTGTTCAAAGCTCTTGTGTCAAAATCGAGTTAACCTAAGAGAAAATCTGAAAATCTATGTTGTGGAACTCAGAAACGCAGATATCTATTTATTTATTCATTCATTTATTCATTTATTTATTCATTTATTTATTTATTTATTTATTTATTTATTTATTTATTTATTTATTTATTGCACACGCGTGCGCCATTGAACGGAAACTACTAATACAGATTGACTAAATGAAACATTCAAACATCAATGTTCACAAAAAAAATAGGCATCAAATATATATGTTTGTAAGTTGTAAGTTTTGAGTAAACTGTGCTGAGATGGCCATTAAACTTGCATAAATCAACCTAACCAAAGATGGTGAAATGAATAGGACTTGATAGAGAAAAAAACTTTGGAAAATCTATCTCAGAAAGTACGACGTCGTGATAGGATTGTTCAAGATAAGTAAGTGAATCAATAGCGTTGATGAAGGTTACGGGGAATAGAATCGAACCCAAACAATCTGACGCCTGTAACGGACATGACCCATTTGGAAGCATCAGACATGTTGTCAACATAGGATTTCGTGTCATCCTCCCAGCCATTTTTCACTTTCAGATCAAATCAGATCAACGGTATGGTTAACAAAGTAGGATAAAGAGTATAGATCATAAAGAACATTATTCGCATCCTCTCACCCTCATGAAATAACAATTAATCGAGGATAAGAGTCTCGAAATTATCGAAAACAAGGTTCACTAGGAAGGAATTCAAAAATGAGTTCTGCTCAAAGAGCTAGAAAATGCTCGGGCTCGCCGACGAATTCTATCCTTTCGTAGCATACATACTGAAGACTAGAAAACCTTCAGGTCTTCACCGATGCAAGCAACCTACCCTAGAAAGAAGTGAGGCTTGGTTGAACTAGGCTAGGACCGATACGGGATCGGGATAGGAGGCAAAATTATGAAAAAGCGAAGCAAAAGGAAAAAGTTTGTAACAACAATGAACGTTTTCAAGAGATGTGTCGAGAAGATTCACCATAAGTGGATCTCGGCTGGTTTCAGTGGTTTGCAGCGACGCTATTCTCTTATTGTTATTCCAAAAACCGGTTGCAAACGATTAGTTAGTAAGTCAGGTTGCCTATTCGATCACTGTAATTAGACCGCTTCTAGGAAAGATTCAGGCCAGCCGGAATCTCCCAGTACAATTTATGGCCCTGGTTTTTCTAATTGATATTCATGTTATTGTTAAACCGCTATATTCCAGTTCCTATGGACATTCACATAGTACTAGGGGGGAAGAAGAGTCGCAACATATTACATTTTGGCTACATACGTGACCAAATCTGCTTACTTCATCCCTCTTTTTTCACCCAGAAGCCCATACCCCCCATAGGACCGGAAGGGCAACAAAAGCTTATGCATTACTTGTTTTCAAGTAGCAGTAAACCCTAATAGAGAAGATTTCTTTTGGCCCTCACTAAACTGTGCTCATGGAGAAAGCCCTGGATGGGACACGAGAAACTCGCTAAGTGACCGTTTATGGCAAGCAAGGGGGTGCCCGATGAGACCACTTTTTGGAGCATTCCGATTGTTCCAGTGGTTTCGTTTCGTAGAGGAACCTATTAGAGTCCGAGCGTAAGCGATCTTTCTTCAACAAAAAAGTTGTCATGCTTCGATGCGGTACAGATACAAGAAAGGCACTGACTTTGATATGAAGAAGGGTTAAGAAACTGGAAGCTTCTGACTGAGTAGGCTAATGCTTCTCTTGCTCAGTGTAGGTAGTGGGGACTGATACTTCGTCAATGAGCATAGGTTATGGGTCGAAGTCTCGGTTCACATCGCCTTTTACGGCTGCAGTTACTGGCCCTTCAACGGTTTTCAACTGCTATCAGGAGCTCCCTGAAGATTGTCTGATTCGCACATCGAATGTGAGTCACTAATAGGTGTAGTCTACCTCAAGTATTTCTACGATTCCGAATGGAAGTTTAGCAAAAGGTACAAATATTCCATTCGCAAACTTACGCAGAATGATTTTATGGCCGCTGCTACACCAGAGAGAAAATCATAGATTAAACATCCGAAGCAAAAGGGAACAGAATTCAAAAATGAAATCATACAAGAAACTGGGATGAAAATGCGAGTGGTTTTAAAACACGATAACCAAGGGGAATATCATATATCCTGCGATGCAAGTAGTTACGTGAATCCGTGTAGTCATCTGTGACTCGATTTAGCAGAGATGAGAGATGTGAACGGGGTGATGACAGAGATCCACATTGAGAAGATATCGTGAAAATCAAAAACAGGACGATGCTATTCGTTTCAGAAAGCAATGCGCTAATTGAATCCGGTTTTATATGATAACTGGCCAAGAAACCTATCAATCAGCGCCTAGGAGCCATTCTAAAACCTAGGAGCATTTGGTGTGCTTGTCGAGTGGGTAGAAGATTCGAATGAGGCTGAGGCAGCACTTTTCTTTTGGTGTCTGGACTTGAAAATACTAGGTCGAATTCTCTCTCATTACCAGTCGAACTAGATCAAGCTTAAGCTTAGCGCTGCATGGGTTCCCTCCGAGATAACTACAGCAATGGGGACAATGGAATTGGAAATCCAGAAAACTCGGACAAGAGGTTTGTCCGAGTAAGATGAGAACGTGGCACATGATTTTTCATATTTCTTCACTGGACTCGATAGCACTGAATGAATTGATGAATAAGGCTCTGCCACTGAGGAGAGAGATCCAAGCGAACCTTAAAACCACGAATTTTTCAAAATCTTCATCATGTATAGGCACTTATGATAAAAATGAGGTTCTACTGTTGGATGTCCGTGAAAATGTTGGAAAATAAGACGGATAATCCGCTCAGAAGAGAAAAAAGGCCGAGCCCGACCCGAACTGGACTATGATGACCACCTGAATAGGATTTAGACTTGTCTCTACGCCACATTTTCCACTTATTCGATCGCAGGAAAGAAAAAAGTCGTTGAAGAGCACAGGTTAGAAGTTTAGACCAGTGAATGAGATGGAGAAATTCTGAAGTGCCTCGAATTCGATAGTGATTTACAGACATGGCACTAATAAAGGCTAAGAGAAAGCTGAAAGCTGGTGGCCATTAAGTTTTTTGCCGAACGGTTCACGTCAGTGAAAGAAGAAGAATCGTGAAATTTCTTCATCTTCACTACCGGATGCAGAAAACTCGTTTAGCAGAAGATTTCTGGATGTCTGCGTTTTTGTTTTCTAGCGTCTCAGCATGAATGCGAAACTTGGTGCCCAAATTATCGCCTTTCACTTGATTTGAGAACGTTTCGACAGTCTGCGTGATGCTTGAAGCTCTGAAAGCCTCCCTATCCTCACGGGGACTCCCATTTTTACATGGGAATGCTCGCCCGCACTTGACTTCCATTCAGAATCGGGATGGCGTATTGAACGCGTATGAGCCTATACAATGACCTGCGTTGGCTAGCATATGTACATGTCAATGCTTATATCTTCTCACTTGAGTATGGTACCGGTTAACCGATCCCGCTCGGAGGGCCCAGACGAGAATCGATCCGGGATTCGATTCCCCACCATGCGTGAATGTGAATCCCTAGACACCAGCCCACCTCCGCTCTCCTGCCCGATTGCTCCGGATACTGTGAAGGACAATTCGGCAGAAGTGGAGAGTAATCGCAGTGCAGGAGTATTTCACTGTTGCTTCTTTCTTACGAAATATTGAACAGAGTGCGGGCCAAGTTTGCTCCTGGCTATTCACATATGCGGTGCAGGTCAGCGGATCAACTAATATGGGTAAGGGCGAAAACTGTAAATGAGAGAGTACTGAGTGATCCGTCG